TTCGGACGATTTGATGTTGGTTTTTTTCGATGCAGCTTTTTGCAGTTTTCTGATTCACTTGATTAACGCTTCTCAACCATAATGTTTGCTTATTAAAAAAAAAAATTATTTTTTTTTTTTTAACTGACTAACAGAATGCTTCTGACGACACTGTAAACTATAATTTAAGTAATTTAAGCTGTTAAATTTTTTTGTTTGCAAACACCTTATTGCAATCAAACATTTCTCCTAGTTTTTATTTAGCTGGAATTTTTTTTCATTTACAAAATGACCAGTGATAATCACACTGAACTTTCTTTGGACAGTCAAATGTAATCAGTAACATCAATAGCGGTCAGACTGCTATATGACCTTTAGCTCTTCTAGTCTAACAAGACTGATTAGATGCAACAGTACTGAACAATTCGTTCTAACTTGTAATTTGGGATGTTTGTATGTTTTTTTTCTGCTGTTTTTTAAATAGTTTTTTTTTTTTTTTTGAATTAGTTCAGTGGTTTGTTGTTGGTGCTTTTCGATGAGAGCACATCAGAACGAACAACAAAAGGTGTATGCTTCTGATCAATAGATATATTTAAAAATGCTTCACAACAGCCTCGCAAGAGGTAAATGTTGTTACTAGAAAAAGCAAAAGAAAAGTGGAAATTAGTCTTATACTTGTTGATATTTAAAGATAGTTTTCAAACCGAGTAAAAAAACTTCTACATTTTCTTTGGTTCACTTTTTGTTTGGACTTTTGTCTTCCAATTTTTAACTTTTATTATTAGAATTATTGTCATCTTTCTTTTTTGTCTTTTTGTTTTTCTTACTACAATAATACAATTATTAGTATGTTGTCAATATACTACTGTTTTTAATGTTAGTGTTGTTATCGTCATTATTATTACCACGTTTACTGCACAGATCTTTATGATTATCATTATTATTACTATTTTTATCATTGATACCACTACTAAAATTGGTGTCTGATTAATATTCTCTTCATTATTACTATAATTAGTATTATTTTTGTTATGATTACTGCGTTTATTACTGCTTACTGATACTGTAAAAGAGTACAAAACAATCTATTAATAAAATTTGGGGTGTTTTTTTTTTATCTTGGCAACAAATTTAGGGTATATCTTTCTTGAATTTAGTAACGTAGAGCTTAAAGTAAAGATAAATGACCGTAAAAATGAAATGACGTTGAAAATGAGGGTGAAAAAAAACAGCAATGGAGAAGATGCAAAAAAAAAAAAAAAAAGTTTGTTGAACTGACAATTTTCAAATTAAGAATGATAGTTTTCAATGTTCTGTTTACTGTTAGGCTCCAGGTAAGTGATGGTACATAAATACGCAATTACAAGAAGTTTTACTCTATTTTTACCTTTACTAATTTATACGGTTCCAAACTGTTGTATTTTGAGCTTTTACAATGGTTTGTGTTCAAATGGTGAAATAAATTTTGATATATCTATTTAGATTTTTTCCTGCCATATTACAAACTTCTCTGATTGTTGTAAGTTGTAAACTGACTTAATGTTTTAGAAGTGTCATTACTAGAAAACGTCGGAAATGTCATCAAGAAAGTTGTTGCCTGCTAAAAAGTAAAACTGAGTAGGGTCTTAAGTAGAAAAAAAAAAAAAGAAAGTTTGAGAAAAAATGGCAAGTTGTTGCAATTGCATTAAAATGTTTCAAAAAAATGTCATGTTGGATTACTATGTTGCGAATTGTTCGAACAGTAATCCTCAGATTGTGCACTGGTTACTGAACTGATGATACACGCTAAATACATTGAAAATTTAGCTTTTTTTTAAATGCTGCTTTCTATTATTAGTAAGAGATTTTTAGAACTTGAGATGGTGAATAGAATCTATTTAGATCAGTAAGTATTTTGTGTAGTATTAAGTGATTTTCTCAGGAATGAGTAATATTCCCAAAAAAAGTGTTTCTACTTTTTTTTGCCAGTAATTTTTTTATGTCTAAATATTTTAAGGTACTTTTGCATTTTTTTTTGGTGCACATATATACATATCATTTTAGAAAAAAAAAATGTTCTTTTCTCAAAAAAAAAAACCTTTTTAGATTAAATTTAGATTTTATTAGACCTGTATGAGATCAAATATGGACACCGTAATGTTCAGTGATGTAATGCTCTTTACTGATACATGCTTTCGTCATGAAAAAAAAAAAAAAAAAAAAA